CCCCAAAACCCCAAAACCCCAAAACCCCAAAACCCCAAAACCCCATCTTCGAGATTTTATATATAAATTTCATAATTAATTATTTCTTAAGAAAATTCAAATCAATATGCAAGACTTGTACAGCGTGAAGGAAGAAGATGAAGAGAACTGTGACGAGAGCAGGACTTATAGTGCCAAGAATAAGAGATCCTCCGAGTTCTCGTCGATCACTAGTTCATTAGAGTTTAGTCAGAATAATTCCCAATTGGTGTTCTTTTATTTTACAGAGAGTGAAGAGGAACCTAACGGAAATCCTCCAAATCTGAACTTGCATATGGAAAGTAAGATATGTGAGTTTTCAAGGGAAGAGCTGATCTCAATGCATATTGAGAAGGAGTATTCCTTTGTCTTGACTTCTAAGAACGAGGTATTGCTTATAGGTAATTTTGCATCAATGTTGAACTTGCCAGATAATGCAAAACCTGAGTTCCTAAAGCTTCCATTTCTGCATCAGATGAAAATTGTGAAAATTGCTTGTTCTGGAAATTGAGCTCTTTTTCTTTCAGAACAAGGATCCCTATACTCTTGGGGAAAGGATGAGGAGCATCTAGGCCTTCTCGGAATCGAAAATGAGTACCACCAATCAACCCCTTCTGCTATAAAAGCATTGAAAGGCATAGAGATCAAGGATATTTCTCTCGGAACAACTCATGCTTCTGCAATTGACTCTGAAGGAAAGTTATACACCTGGGGATATGGTGAAGGAGGAATTTTAGGCCACGGTGAAGATGTAAATCAGCTTGATGTTCCCACTAAAGTCGATACTTACTCCCATTTCACCATCATCAAGACCACTTGCTCTGCTAACTCCACCCTATTCCTTACGGACAAGAACATTTTCTGTTGCTTGACTAACGCTTCAAAAACTGGGGCTTCCCAGAATTCTCAATTTCTTTCAATACATTCAAAAGCAGATTTGGGAAATAGCCTAGTTGGAATTTAAGAAGGGAACTAGGCAGAAAAGGGAGGAAGTAAGCTCAGGAGAGTATGGATTTGAGTTTTCAGAGCCTTTTGAGGGGGTAGATCGGAGAGTTGGAATAGAGGTAGACGTCTTGGGGTTGCTGTGGCTTGAGAGTTGTTTTGTATCAGTTCTATCCTATGCTGCAAATGCGACCAGTACATGATTGTTAACTAAAGATGCTTTACTATTGTTAGATTCTTCTAGAACCTTATTCCAGCTTGACCAGATCTTCAGTACAAAGGAAGGTCCACCAGAAAACACAACTATATTTGGCTTCCAGTCCTCATTTATATTATTCACAGAAGACAAGATGATACAGAAAGTCCACTCAAAAGAGCTTAGGTATAATTTAAACCCATTCTGCTATAAAAATCTATTAATTATACAATCATCTACTGCTTCACTCCATTTTCAAACCCTAAACACCATCAACCTCTTTAAAAACACCACTAACCACTTAACCAACAGACCCCCCATCCAAAAAACACCTCTAGATCACTCCCCAGACAAATCCTGCTCAGATTCCTTCTAAAATCCCCCAAAATTTCCAAAAATCCGAAATTTCCCACTACCTTCTAATCCACTACGATCTCTCCTCTGCTCAATGCCGTAAGACAGTTTATTCCTTATCAGAACCCCTGTCTCCTCTCAGTACGCCCAACGAAGTCTTCCTGGCTCTCAACAGGATTCCCTTCTTGATCAGCAACGATAATTATCTTCATATTAAGAAACAGAGTTCATACCTGATCACACCTATGAAGGTTGATATGAAGTTGTGGAAGTATGTAGACAGGAGACATCAGAGATAGATAAGTCTTACAGAAGGTATAGCAACATCTAACCCTATAGACATAATCCTCTTATCCTAGAAGAATTAAAAATCGAACCATCAAATCTAGTATCCTACAATACAGCCTCGCCAAAATTCAAATCCACCTTCTACTCGGATCCTAAATATGAGTCTCTTCACAGCTTGACCAGTCGTACAAGCAGTGAGAACGAACTTGAAATAAAAAGACTCGAGCAAATTTCTCCACTTAAAAATGACAGATTTGGGACTCCTGAAAAGCCTCGAAGAGAGCTAGATATGTCTCAATTCCAAAGTTTCACTTGTGAGAGGCCTATATCGGCCTCGGTGATGCTTCTATCCAACGTTTTGGGCACTTTAGAGCAGAAAGAAATTAGATTAGCCTTTGAAAATGTCAAATAAAGTGGCTGAATTCCAAGCTAAAAATCAAAAGAAATTAGACAAAATGGAAAACAGGCTTCTTATGTAAGTGAAACCTGTCATCTCTAGGCGTACTGTGCTGGGAAATTTAAGGGAATTTTTACTCAAGAAGAACCAATTGAGTGGCCTTAAGAAGCAATTTGAAGCAAAGATGAGTAGCAAGCAACTGCAAAAGTGATTCAGAGTTATGAAGGAAGCCATAGGAGTGGGTTACGATAAAGCAGAAGAAAGATTAGAAGAAGCTAGAGAAGAGAAAGCTCTAAGTTTCAAATTTCAGTCCTTAGAAAAGCTGTAAGATGTTAGAAGTTATCATTTAGGCAATCTAAAGAGGAAAAATGAGGGTGTATTGGCTCAAGACCTAAAAGTATATCATATTTCCAAGGATTAGACCTGCAAAGTAAATTTTATCACAAGAGACCTATAATTATACCAAAATTCTGAGTGGTGAACCCTAATCCTCACCATCTGGAGTTTAAGACCCATATGAATAATTTTAGAAAGACAGAGAATTCATACACAGAAAGACTTGAAAAGTCTTATAAAATTGATTCAGTTTTTTCTCAGAATTTTGACAACAGAAAGAAGAGCAAATTTAGTAAGTTTGACCCTAACCTCTAGATCTTGACCAGAAAATGGCACAGCATATTCGCTCTGTGAGACAAAACAAGGATCTTTCTTCTCACAAGAAAGTGTTTGAAATCGCTCCAAAAGAAGAGAATTATCTTCTCAACGAAATAATAGAGCACATACTACAAACAAAGCATAAAACTAGAGTACAATGGTACAAAATCAGGCCTGGATTTCCTAAGACTAGCTTCCATCGGGAGTCGACTCCTTCTCGCTACAGTAGGCCTGATATTATCTTGCCAAAACCAGAGCAGAAGAGGTCTCAGAGTACTTCTCAGAACAACTACAGGACACCAGTGATCAAGAATGCTGAAGAGCTAAGTAAGTGCAAATTTGATGCTTTCATAACTTTGAGAATTTTCTTTGAGAAAGATTAGTTTGAGGCATACAGAAATGAACGATAAAGCACTAAATTTATTATCTAGTTAGTAATCAATGTTTATAGCCCATACCCATCAGAAGAGAAAGCTTCCTGACATTTGATGGGACACAGAGAAGCTTAATAAAGAAACCACGAGCATCTTGTTTGACAAGAAGGTCCAACTAAGCACTAGTGGAAACAAACTGAGCTCTCGAAGATACGAATCTTGTACAAAGGAAGACTACTCTAGTGAAGAAATTGATTCTAAAATCATTAATTTCAGTCCTGAGAACCTATGCAAAAATAGTGTTGAAGGGAGGGAACGCTTGCTTCACCCTATAGCTGATAAGTACCTTTCAAATGTTTCCTCACATCAATCCCTTAAGATCAATAACAGCGAGTTAGAACTGATATCAAGTAATGACTATAAGAAGGAGCAGGCCGTTCAGTTGGAACTAAAGTACAGTGATGCTTTCTCAAGTTCCAAAGTAACTCCAAAGAACCTATCTGAAGAATTCAACTGCACTCAGAGATCTCTAAAGGAATTTTTCCAGACCCAAGGACAGATGAAAGGAGCTAATACCTCAAAGATCTCTAAACTGATAGAACAAGAGAAGAAACGCAGACTTGAAGAAGAAGAGAAAAAGGAGAAGGCCAAGAAGAGGAAAATAGGTCCGAATAAGACATCTGTCGGAAAAAGTAAGAATCTTCAACTATTTTTAGAAGGAAAGAAGGAGACTAAGGCAAAGCCTAAGGGTAAGAAAAACAAGAATGAAGGAATCAAGCTGAATATCAGTAAGAATTTTGGGATGAATTATGCTTCAGCATTTCTTGGTTTGATAATTTTAAACTAGCTTGATGCTATAGACCCTAAAAATGAGCATCCAAAGTCAAGGAATAGCACAAAAGTTGGAGCTTCAAACACAGTTCAGAAAACAGCAGCTGCTACTCTTCAGTTATCAAGGATGAATACTTTCAGTGTTGGAGATGGAAGTGCTTGTGATGCCGATACGAAAGAAGAAATTAATGTTGAAGAACGCATTGAGAATTTACTTAGCTTTGCAAGAAAGGAGGGTCGAGGTAAGAAACACAATGAGTCATTTGCACTGTAGTACAAGCTTCCTCAGGTGAAGAGGAGATCAAATTAGAATTTTTCTTCTGGTTAGGAGGCTTCTTCATTTTATTTATTTCGTCTTTTATAACGGCTAATTTTTAAATATAGCAACCGAAAGTACTAGACAAAGGTAAAAATTATAAAATGGCAACTTCCAAAATTTCACCCAAAATATGCATTCTTAACAATCCTCTATAGCAAAAATTTCAAAAAACGCTTAAAGCACTTAGAAGAGACTAAAGAGAACATAACTCCACTCACACATACCCAAATTCCAAAATTCAAAAACCTGCCAATACTTTCCACCAAGAGCAACGGTATGCCTCCCCACTAATCCCTCTAGTCAAAGTCCTCGAAAACCCCAAAACCCAAGGAAATCTCCCCAGTCTGCCTCCAGAACTCAACCTTCAAGATTCCATTTTTGACAAGCCCAAAATTCTAAATCCCTCAACTACAAAGAACAAGAAGCCTAAGAAGGCATTCAGGAGATGCCGTATTGCCTAAGCCCCATTTCAGTGTAATTAATTCAATACTTTCCAAGAAATGGGGTTTTGGGGTTTTGGGGTTTTGGGGTTTTGGGGTTTTGGGG